TTCTCATCTGGTGACTGGCATCAACATGAGACGTCAAGGCCTCATAAAAATTAACCGGAATTAAATGGAACATCAAAATAACATAACCAGAGTTTACAACACAGAAAAAAATTAAAGCTCAAAAATATGTTCAATACTGGGCGCCAGTATCTTATGCCTGTAGTATCCTAGCCACTCAAGAGGCTGAGATCTGAGGATCGTGGTTTAAAGACAGCCTGGGAGCCGGGCGCTGGTGGCTCACACCGGTAATCCTAGCTACTCAGGAGGCTGAGATCTGAGGATCACGGTTCAAAGCCAGCCTGGGCAGGAGAGACTGTGAGACTCTTTTTTTGGGGGGGGTCCAGTTGTGGGGCCTGAACTCTGGGCCTGGGCGCTGTCCCTCAGCTCTTCAGCTCAAGGCTAGCGCTCTACCGCTTGAGCCACAGCACCACTTCCGGCTTTTTTCTTTTTTCTTATTTGGTGCTGAGGAATCGAACCCAGGGCCTCATGCATGCAAGGCAAGTGCTCTACCACTGAGCCACCTTCCCAGCCCCGAGACTGTGAGACTCTTATCTCCAATAAACCACCAGAAAACCAGAAGTGGCGATGTAGCTCAAGTGGTAGAGCGCTCGCCATGAGCTGAAGAGGTGAGGGACAGCGCCCAGGCCCAGAGTTCAGGCCCCACGACCGGACCCAAAAACAAAATTAAAAAAAAAAAAAAAAAAAGCCTGGGCAGGAAAATCCATGAGACTCTTGTTTCCAATAAACCACCAGAAAATTGGAAGTGGCACTGTGGTTCAAGTGGTATAGTGCTAGCCTTGTACTGAAGAGCTGAGGGACAGCGCCCAGGCCCAGGGTTCAAGCCCCACGACCAGAGGAAAAAAAAATGTCCAGAGAAGGAGAGTTCAGGACAGCTTGGAACCTGGATTATATAGGGAGTTCAAGGTTAGCCTGAGCTATTGCTAATCTGGCTCTTCCCCCTAAAACAAAACAACAACAACAATAAAAAACAGAAAGTAAGTAAAGAAGGAAGAAAGGAAAAGTAAAAGTGGCTGAACAACACAGGGGCTGGTGGCTCATGCCTGTATGTAATCCTACCTACTTGGGAGGCTGAGATCTGAAGATTGTGGCTCAAAGCCAGCCTGGGCAGGAAAGTTCAGTGAGACTCTCAGCTTAAATTCATAACAGAAAAATCGGAAGTGGCACTGTGGCTCAAGTGGCAGAGTGTTAGCTTCAAGTAAAAGTTCAAGGACAGTGCCCAGGCCCAGAGTTCAAGCCCAGGACCAGCAAAAAGAAAAAAAAAAGTAGCTAAACTATCAAGGAAAATGAGAATTCAAGAATGAGTAAGCCTAACAGTCATGCTTAAACAAAGGATTTCTGACAGGCAGGTGTTTTTAGATAATACAAAAGAAAAAAACAGCAGTGTTCCAAAGTGGAATTGACTGTAACAACAGGCTAAATGTTTAGCAACAATCTAAATGACAGTGTGTTAGTTTGGGTAAAATATTAATAAGAATATAGGGGGCTGGGAAGGTGGCTCAGGGGGAGAGTGCTTGCTTTGCATGCATGAGGCCCTGGGCTGGCTTCCTCAGCATCACATAAACTGGAAGTGGTGCTGTGGCTCCAATGGTAGAGCACTAGCCTTAAGCTCAAGAGCTGAGGGACAGTGCCCAGGCCCAGAGTTCAGGCCCTATAACCACTACCAACAACAAAAGAATGTAGGGAACACCTTACTGACTATCAAGTTTCTGGAGATCTGGGGAATATATAAGTAGGCAACACCAAAAGTTTATCTTTAATTGGAGAGAAGAGTTGGGGATATAAAATTGGGAGAATGTAAACAAGTAAGACAGAATGCAAATGGGTGAAATATTTCTATGCTTTATACAGTTCAGTAATCCCTGGTTATCTCAGCTGTGTGTTCCCTTTAGTACCTTTTCCACTTTGCTAATAAAGCACTTTTTGTGGACATTACAATTGATGCTAATGTCTACCTTTTGAACAGAGATGTGTTTCTTTACAGCCAACATTTGGGCTGTCTATATATTCAGGGATGAGGACAGTGTTGGCATGAGTTCTACAGAGTCAAGGTACCTACGTAGTTCCCCATCTCAAATTAGATTTATGGAAATTGTAAATGAGGAAGAAGTAAAAGTAGGTAAATTTTGGCCTGGCTTAGGATGACAGGGAAAGGAGTTCTTTCCACTACAGCAAAGACTTTCAATCAGAGAGGGCCAATCTATTTTCCTTTTCAGAGAAAGTAACACTAATATTATCCACATCTTTTGGAAATCAGCACACTCCTTCCTTCCCTTTCCCCATCCTTCTTAGGCCTCAACTAACAATGTTTTTTCACACTTTGTACTGACCTGGAGCTAGTTGCTTGGCAGATTTAACAGGGCAATAGTTAGTTGTGAAGCCCAGCTAGCTGAGGGAACCCAGAAAAACTCACCTCTGCTTTTTTAATATTCAACAAGGAGTTGACAGACTTAACCAACTTACAAAAAGCTATTCAGAATCATAACAATGTGGCGAAGCCCACACCCTTAGCAGACTAGTCATAATCACAAAGGCTTTTGAAAACACCTTGTGGAAAGCTAACTAATAAAATCACTTGGGTGGCCCAAACTCTACTATAAAATGAAATCTACTGAGCTTTGTCAGTAGTAAACTCAAATAGTGAAGAAGTTTTCGGTATTTTGGATAAGACTTTTTTCAGTTTATAAAATAAACATTTAAAAAATTTTAGAATACATTCAGAATTTCTGAAAAGTTAAAGTAGTAACTAAAAGGTTTTTTAAAAAGGCTTTTTCCGTCGTCTGAAAGCTTCTAATCACTTGCGTGGTTCTAAACTAGGTTATGTAATGCTCCCAGTAAGGTCTGGGGCAGTACTTTGCAGATGAGGAAATTGCTAGGCTTACCTTTCTGAAAATGGTCAAAGTGCGATCTGAATCCAGGGCTGTTAACTACAGCTTTAGACCTTTCTAGACACCACGATGAACTCTCCCCAGCACTGATGGGTTCCTGAAGGGCGCATACTTTTCAAGCAAGCAGACGGTAGGGAATAGGAAGCATAAAATCAGTCTGCACACGGAACCCTGGAGGGTTGCCTCCTTTTTCTTTTCGTTTTATTCTGAGGTTAGCCTGACGGATTATTTAAAAACTATGACTTCCCTAAAAGTCCTGTTTAAAAACACATTCTCTCCTCCCCCTCCCACCCCCCCAGGCAATTACCAATGCAGTCTGTCGGTGAGAGCCTTAACAAAGTTATTCGTAAGGTGAAGGGAGGCCCACGGAGCGACCGGCAACGGCGGAGCCTGCGCACTTGGCGGGGAGTGGGAGGGCGGGGGCTGGGGCAGGTAAGACGGAGTTGGGGGGGGGTTCGCCCAGGGCAGGTAAGACCAGGGGTGGGGGCCCCCTATCCCCCTGGACAGGTAAGAGGCAGGCAGGCCCGGGGAGCACGCGTTTGGCGTTCCGGGCGCCCCGAGTTCGAGATGCTTCCCTACGGTTTGCGTGTGTCGGTGGGGCTGGTTCCGTCTCCATATTTTCATCTAAATCGGGGCACCCCAGGCCAACATAATAGCAGCCCTGTGCAAGCAGAGCTGCTCGCTAGAGCCGCCCGGGGCTTCACTTCTGGGCCACCAGCGTCGCCCCTGCGGCCCGCAGGGCGGAGCCGCGCTCGCGGGTGACCGCGGGGCCGCG